TGTGTGTGCGTGTGTGTAGTGTGTGCGTGTGTGTAGTGTGTGTGTGTGCGTGTGTGTATGTGTGTGTGCGTGTGTGTAGTGTGTGTGTGTGTGCGTGTGTGTAGTGTGCGTGTGTGCGTGGCGCCTGGCCCCCACGATTTTTGCCGGTGCCCTTGTTAATTCGCAGCGGCGGGTTACCGGTGCCGAGCGGAGGGAGAGAAGAGAGAGACGAGGAGAGAGACGAGGAGAGAGCGGAGAGAGAGAGAGACAGTGAGAGACAGACAGTGAGAGACAGACAGAGAGAGACAGACAGAGACAGACAGTGAGAGACAGTGAGAGACAGAGAGAGAGAGACAGTGAGAGACAGACAGTGAGAGACAGACAGAGAGAGACAGACAGAGACAGACAGAGACAGACAGTGAGAGACAGTGAGAGACAGAGAGAGACAGACAGTGAGAGACAGACAGACAGAGACAGACAGAGAGAGACGGTGAGAGACAGACGGAGAGAGACAGACGGAGAGAGACGAGAGACAGACGGAGAGAGACAGACAGAGAGACGAGAGACAGAGAGACGAGAGACAGAGAGACGAGAGACAGACAGTGAGAGAGAGAGACAGACAGAGAGACGAGAGACAGACAGAGAGACGAGAGACAGACGGTGAGAGACAGACGGAGAGAGACAGACGGAGAGAGACAGACGGAGAGAGAGAGAGACGGAGAGAGAGAGACAGACGAAGAGAGACAGTGAGAGACAGAGAGACAGTGAGAGACAGACAGAGAGAGACAGACAGTGAGAGACAGTGAGAGAGAGAGACAGTGAGAGACAGTGAGAGACAGAGAGAGACAGAGAGACAGACAGAGAGACAGACAGAGAGACAGACAGAGAGACAGACAGAGAGACAGACAGAGAGAGAGACAGAGAGAGACAGAGAGTGACAGACAGACAGAGAGAGACAGACAGAGAGAGACAGACAGACAGAGAGACAGACAGAGACAGACGGACAGAGACAGATGGAGAGAGACAGACGGAGAGAGACGAGAGGCAGACGGAGAGAGACAGGCGGAGAGAGACAGACAGAGAGAGAGAGACAGAGGCAGACAGTGAGAGACAGACAGAGAGAGACAGTGAGAGAGAGAGACAGAGAGACAGACAGAGAGAGACAGTGAGAGAGAGAGAGACAGACAGTGAGAGAGAGAGACAGACAGTGAGAGACAGTGAGAGACAGAGAGACAGTGAGAGAGAGAGAGACAGACAAAGAGAGACAGACAGACAGACACTGAGAGACAGAGAGAGAGACAGACGGAGAGAGACAGAGAGACAGACAGACAGTGAGAGACACAGACAAAGAGAGACAGACAAAGAGAGAGACACAGACAAAACTAAAATGAGGAGCCGTTGCTGCCGGCGACGTCGAGGGGGACAAGTTGTACAGCAGTTTACTACGGGGGAGGGAGGGGGGGGGGTGGCTCTTGGTCACCCGCACGGTATCACACTTTGCAGTAATGAAGTGGAACGCAACTGCTTGATGCTGCTGCTGCTGACGATGCTGCTGCTGCTGCTGCTGCTTTGGTGTCAACAGCAGCAGCATCAGCAGCTAGGTAGCGCTTTGTTTTCTTTCTCGCGACCTGGCCATCACGAATGACAGCTCAACGAAAGCGGCTTGTGATCGTCGTCGTCGTCGTCATCACGTTGATTGTAAATGTGGAGGGGAATCATCGAAGGACCCAGAGAGAAATCCACGCGACCACCCGGGGTCGAGAGGGAGGGAGAGAGAGAGAGACACGCAAAATCCAAATATACAGCAGCAGCAGCAGGCATCGTCAGGGTCCCGATCGAAGCAACGACCTCCTGTACACCAGGCGAGGTAGTCAACATCTCCTAGCCACCGTGGTGATGATGATGAGAGAGACACGCAAACTCCAAATATACATACAGCAGGCATCGTCAGGGTCGTGATCGAACCCACGACCTCCTGTATACCAGGCGAGGTAGTTAACATCTCCTAGCCACCGTGATGATGATGATGAGAGAGAGACACGCAAACTCCAAATATACAGCAGCAGCAGGCATCGTCAGGGTCCCGATCGAACCAACGACCTCCTGTGTACCAGGCGAGGTAGCTAACATCTCCTAGCCACCGTAGTGATATGGTCGAAACGTGATGATGATGAGAGAGAGACACGCAAACTCCAAATATACAGCAGCAGCAGGCATCGTCAGGGTCGTGATCGAACCCACCACCTCCTGTACACCAGGCGAGGTAGTTAACATCTCCTAGCCGCTACGGCACCTAAGCACAGACACCAACGACGACTCTCCGGGGCAATAATAACAACAAAAGCAGCAGCAGCAGCATCAACACCATCGTGTGTGTGTCTGTGTGTGTGGTTGTTTGTGTGTGTGTGGTTGTTTGTGTGTGTTTGTGTGTGTGGTTGTTTGTGTGTGTCTGTGTGTGTGTGTGTTTGTGTGTCTGTGTGTGTTTGTATGTGTGTGTCTGTGTGTTTGTGTGTCTGTGTGTCTGTGTTAGTGTGTGTATTTGTGTGTGTGTGTGTGTTTCTGTGTGTGTTTGTGCGTGTGTGTGTGTTTGTGTGTGTGTTTGTGCGTGCGTGTGTGTCTGTGTGTGTCTGTGTGTGTTTGTGTGTCTGTGTGTGTGTTTGTGTGTCTTAGTGTGTGTGTGTTTGTGTGTGTGTGTGGCCTTCATAGGTGGCCCTCTATAACAGCGCTCACAAGTTTGTTAAGGCTGCACGGCCTTGGTCTCTGCGTGCGTGCGGTCAGCGGCTGTCCGCGCTGCGAGCACGGCGGACCCGAGTTCGATTCCCCGTTCGCCGTCCACCGCCAACGCCCGGTGGACGATTCTCTGTAGCGGCCGGTCGCGGGCCCTCCTCCCCTAGGTCGACTCGGCCTCAATCGAGTACCCGGCGCGGTGGGTCAAAACATCGGCAATGGGGAGACAAAGGCGGCCGGGGGCGTGGTGCCTGGCCGCCCACTCCCCTCGTGAATGCCGTGCCGGGCCTTCTTACGATGCTGCTGATCGCGGACGGCACTTGCCCCGACAGCCTGCTGGAGGCTACACGGGGGGGGGGGGGGGTCTTTGTCTTTGTTTGAATGGGCGAGTGAGTCCACGCGTGATGATGATGACCATGCTGACGATGATGATGCTGATGATGCTGATGATGTTGACGATGGGGATGCTGATGATAATGTTGACGATGGGGATGCTGATGCTGCTGCTGCTGATGATGATGGTGATGATGGTGATGATGTTGACCATGGGGATGCTGATGCTGCTGCTGATGACCATGGTGATGATGGGGATGCTGATGATGATGATGCTGATGATGGTGGTGGTGGTGTAAAACGTGGGTAGCGGGCGTGATTGCTGGACCGGGATGCCGGCTGGAGTTGAACCGCAGCACCCGCCGGCCATAGTGGCCAAGAATATGAATTTACTGCAGTCACGAAAGCTTTAAATCAAAATGTAGTCGCGTGATTTTTTGTTATTTTATTTTTACCTACGTGACTTTACCGAATAGGACCAAAGAGTACGGCACGGCCCCCCCCCCCCCCCCCCCCCCCCCCGGACGAATGTACGGAGCGACCGACAGCGACGCTTAGGAGCGTGAACGGCGCGGCGAGCGACGCGTTTCACGTGACCCTCCGCTCGTCGCTCGTCGCTCGCGTATCGGCACCGCCGTTCGCTTCACATGATTTATTATTTATATTGTCGTTCACACGCTTACCTCCCGGACGGAGGCTCCCAATTCCAAGCACGCCCGTCACCTTTTGCCCGACGCTGCTAGCGTCTCTACGGCGTTGGTGGCCGTGGTGGTGGTGGTGGTGCTGTGGGTGGTGGTGCTGTGGGTGGTGGTGCTGTGGGTGGTGGTGCTGTGGGTGGTGGTGCTGTGGGTGGTGGTGCTGTGGGTGGTGGTGCTGTGGGTGGTGGTGCTGTGGGTGGTGGGGGGTGATGAACTTTTCTCGCCTCCTTTGTCGGGCAGTTCCCGTGCGCTCCCCCGCGCGGATTTAGGATTTTTTTTAATAGCATCGATTTTTTTATTTTTTAATCTCGTGCCGATTCCCCAAATCGGCGTCGTACGATGGCGATTCGCAGTTGCACGCCGGAAGTCGTTCGGAACGTGTCGGGGGCGGGGGGGGAATGGCGCGCGGAAGCGGATGGCACAGAGTCACGCCCGAGATCACTCCCCCCCCCCTCCCCATGTGCTTGGAGCGATGCTCCGGGTAACACAATGAGGACCCGCGGAAGCGGATGTGGCGGAGCTACCACAGATCCCTGGGTGGGGGTGGGGGTGTGGGGTGTGGTGGGTCCCGTTCACCCCTGGATCTCGGAACGCGTGCAAAAAGCGGCCCGGCGTTAATTTAATTTAGAGAGAGGCATAGCGGCAGTAGTGGTAGTAGCAGCAGTAGTAGTAGCAGCAGTAGTAGTAGCAGCAGTAGTAGCAGTAGCAGTAGTAGCAGTAGCAGCAGTAGTAGTAGTAGCAGTAGTAGCAGTAGCAGCAGCAGTAGTAGCAGCAGTAGTAGTAGCAGTAGTAGTAGCAGCAGTAGTAGCAGTAGCAGTAGTAGCAGTAGCAGCAGCAGTAGTAGCAGCAGTAGTAGTAGCAGCAGTAGTAGTAGCAGTAGTAGCAGCAGCAGTAGTAGTAGTAGCAGCAGTAGTAGTAGCAGCAGTAGCAGCAGTAGTAGTAGCAGTAGCAGCAGTAGTAGTAGTAGCAGCAGTAGTAGCAGTAGTAGCACTAGTAGTAGCAGCAGCAGTAGTAGCAGCAGCAGTAGTAGCGGCAGCAGTGGCAGCAGCAGTAGCAGCAGTAGCATTAGCAGCAGCAGTAACAGCAGGGGTGGGAGGTGGTGGTGGGGGGGTGGGGAGGATGGTGGGGGGGTGGGAGGTGGTGGTGGTGGGGGGGTGTCGGTGATGGTGATGGTGGTGGTGGGTGGGGGGTTCCCTTTGACCCGTAGGAGGCGGTGTTCAAGTTCTCCCCCGTGCCGGTGCTCGTGTGTGTGTGAACGTTGAGGAGCAGAGCAAGGGGGGCATCCTCTCCAAGGCCTGCGACTACATCCAGGAGCTGAGGCAGACCCAGCAGCAGCTGGCCGACAACATCAAGGAGACGGAGCGCCTCCACATGGACAACGAGCTGCTCCGGCAGCAGGTGACTCACGCGGCGCAAACACAACAACAACACAACAACATGATGTAACAACGTGACAACGTGACGCAACAACGTGACGTGACACAACAACGTGACGCAACAACACAACAACACAACAACGTGACACAACAACACAACAACGTGACACAACAACAACGTGACAACGTGACACAACAACACAACAACGTGACACAACAACACAACAACACAACAACGTGACAACACAACACAACAACGCGACACAACAACACAACAACACAACAACGTGACACAACAACGTGACAACACAACAACGTGACGCAACAACACAACAACGTGACGCAACAACACAACAACGTGACACAACAACATGACACAACAACACAACAACACAACAACGTGACACAACAACATGACACAACAACACAACAACGTGACACAACAACAACGTGACAACGTGACACAACAACGTGACGTGACGCAACAACGTGACACAACAACGTGACGTGACGCAACAACACAACAACGTGACGCAACAACACAACAACGTGACACAACAACACAACAACGTGACGCAACAACACAACAACGTGACACAACAACACAACAACGTGACGCAACAACACAACAACGTGACACAACAACACAACAACGTGACGCAACAACATGACAACACAACAACGCAACAACGTGACGCAACAACACAACAACGTGACGCAACAACACAACAACGTGACGCAACAACACAACAACATGACGCAACAACGTGACAACACAACAACGTGACAGAACAACGCAACAACGTAACGTGACGCAACAACACCACAACGTGACGCAACAATGTGACGCAACAAGGTGATGCAACAACGTGACGCAACAACACAACAACGTGACGCAACAACACAACAACGTGACGTAACAACGTGACACAACAACACAACAACGTGACGCAACAACACAACAACGTGACGCAACGTGACGCAACATGACGCAACAACGTAACAACGTAATGTAACAACGTGACGCAACAACGCGAGGCAACAACGTGACGTAACAACGTGACACAACAACGTAACGTAACGTAACAACGTAATGTAACAACGTAACGTAACAACGTAACGCAACAACGTGACGCAACATGACACAACAACGTGACACAACAACGTGACGCAACAACGTGACACAACAACGTAACAACGTAATGTAACAACGTAACGCAACAACGTAACACAACAACGTAACGTAACAACGTAACGCAACAACGTGACACAACATGACACAACAACGTGACACAACAACGTGACGCAACAACGTGACACAACAACGTAACAACGTAATGTAACAACGTAACGTAACAACGTAATGTAACAACGTAACGTAACAACGTAACGCAACAACGTGACACAACATGACACAACAACGTGACACAACATGACACAACAACGTGACACAACAACGTGACACAACAACGCGAGGCAACAACGTGACGTACGTGCGGCGGCGAGGGCAAAGATCCCCCACTCCCGCCCAGCCTCGGCAGGCTGTCGGGGCGAAGCCCTGTGGCACAGGCGGGGGTGGGTGGCCAGCACCACGCCCACACACAGACACACACAGCCGTGGTCGTGCACGTGAGTCCACGCGAGTCCACGTGGACTCACGTGGACTCACGTGGACGTGGACTCACGTGAGTCCACGCGAGTCCACATGGACTCACGTGAGTCCACGCGAGTCCACGTGGACTCACGTGAGTCCACGTGTCGCCCTGTGGCTCACAGACCTCTGCAACAATTCCCTCGAGCGGTTCAGGGTTGGGTTGTTGGGTGGTTGGTTGGTGATTAGGTGGTTTCTTGGGTGGTTGGTTGGTGGTTGGGTGGTTGGTTGGTGGTTGGGTAGTTGGTTGGGTGGTTGGGTGGGTTGTTGGGTGGTTGGTTGGGTTGGTGGTTGGGTGGTTGGTTGGGTGGTTGGTTGGGTGGTTGGGTGGGTTGTTGGGTGGTTGGTTGGGTGGGTTGTTGGGTGGTTGGTTGGGTTGGTGGTTGGGTGGTTGGTTGGGTGGTTGGTTGGTTGGTTGGGTGGTTGGGTGGGTTGTTGGGTGGTTGGTTGGGTTGTTGGGTGGTTGGTTGGGTGGCTGGTTGGGTGGTTGGGTGGGTTGTTGGGTGTTTGGTTGGGTGGTTGGTTGGGTGGCTGGTTGGGTGGTTGGGTGGGTTGTTGGGTGGTTGGTTGGGTTGTTGGGTGTTTGGTTGAGTGGTTGGTGGGTGGCTGGTTGAGTGGTTGGTGGGTGGCTGGTTGAGTGGTTGGTGGGTGGCTGGTTGAGTGGTTGTTGGGTGGCTGGTTGGTTGGGTTGGTGGGTGACTGGTTGAGTGGTTGCTTGGGTGGTTGGTTGAGTGGTTGGGTTGGTGGGTGGCTGGTTGAGTGGTTGGGTGGGTGGCTGGCTGGTTGAGTGGTTGGGTGGGTGGGTGGGTGAGTGGTTACGTGGCTGGTTGAGTGGTTGGTTAAGTGGCTGGTTGAGTGGTTGGGTTGGTGGCTGGTTGGGTGGGTGGCTGGTTGAGTGGTTGGATTGGTGGGTGGGTGGTTGAGTGGTTGGGTGGGTGGCTGGTTGAGTGGTTGGGTGGGTGGCTGGTTGAGTGGTTGGATTGGTGGGTGGGTGGTTGAGTGGTTGGGTGGGTGGCTGGTTGAGTGGTTGGTGGGTGGCTGGTTGAGTGGTTGGTTGGGTGGGTGGTTGAGTGGTTGGGTGGGTGGATGGTTGAGTGGTTGGTGGGTGGCTGGTTGAGTGGTTGGTTGGGTGGGTGGTTGAGTGGTTGGGTGGGTGGCTGGTTGAGTGGTTGGTTGGGTGGGTGGTTGAGTGGTTGGGTGGGTGGCTGGTTGAGTGGTTGGTGGGTGTCTGGTTGAGTGGTTGGTTGGGTGGGTGGTTGAGTGGTTGGGTGGGTGGATGGTTGAGTGGTTGGTGGGTGGCTGGTTGAGTGGTTGGTTGGGTGGGTGGTTGAGTGGTTGGGTGGGTGGCTGGTTGAGTGGTTGGTTGGGTGGGTGGTTGAGTGGTTGGGTGGGTGGCTGGTTGAGTGGTTGGGTTGGTGGCTGGTTGAATGGTTGGGTGGGTGGGTGGTTGAGTGGTTGGGTTGGTGGCTGGTTGAGTGGTTGGGTGGGTGGGTGGTTGAGTGGTTGGGTTGGTGGCTGGTTGAGTGGTTGGTGGGTGGCTGGTTGAGTGGTTGAGTGGCTGGTTGAGTGGCTGGTTGAGTGGCTGGTTGAGTGGCTGGTTGGGTGGGTGGCTGGTTGAGTGGTTGGGTGGGTGGCTGGTTGAGTGGTTGGGTTGGTGGCTGGTTGAGTGGTTGGTGGGTGGCTGGTTGAGTGGTTGAGTGGCTGGTTGAGTGGCTGGTTGAGTGGCTGGTTGAGTGGCTGGTTGGGTGGGTGGCTGGTTGAGTGGTTGGTGGGTGGCTGGTTGAGTGGTTGGGTTGGTGGCTGGTTGAGTGGTTGGATTGGTGGGTGGGTGGTTGAGTGGTTGAGTGGTTGGGTGGGTGGCTGGTTGAGTGGTTGCGTTGGTGGGTGGCTGGTTGGGTGGTTGGCTGGTTGAGTAGTTGAGTGGTTGGGTTGGTGGGTGGCTGGTTGAGTGGTTGGGTGGGTGGCTGGTTGAGTGGTTGGATTGGTGGGTGGGTGGTTGAGTGGTTGAGTGGTTGGGTGGGTGGCTGGTTGAGTGGTTGCGTTGGTGGGTGGCTGGTTGGGTGGTTGGCTGGTTGAGTAGTTGAGTGGTTGGGTTGGTGGGTGGCTGGTTGAGTGGTTGGGTTGGTGGCTGGTTGAGTGGTTGGATTGGTGGGTGGGTGGTTGAGTGGTTGAGTGGTTGGGTGGGTGGCTGGTTGAGTGGTTGCGTTGGTGGGTGGCTGGTTGGGTGGTTGGCTGGTTGAGTAGTTGAGTGGTTGGGTTGGTGGGTGGCTGGTTGAGTGGTTGGGTGGGTGGCTGGTTGAGTGGTTGGCTGGTTGAGTGGTTGGCTGGTTGAGTGGTTGGGTGGGTGGCTGGTTGGGTTGGTGGGTGGCTGGTTGAGTGGCTGGTTGGGTGGTTGGGTGGGTGGTTGCACACCCGCAGCCGTACGGCCAACCTCAAAGCAAGCGGCGAACAAACATTTGAACAAATGTGACGAGCACCACCGTGCACCTACAAATGTCCCCCCTGGTGGAACTCCTCGACGGTGGTGGGCGGAGGTTGGTGGAGGTTGGAGGTTGGCGGAGGTTGGTGAACGTTGGTGGAGGTTGGTGGAGGGTGGTGAACGTTGGTGGAGGTTGGTGGAGGCTGGTGGAGGTTGGTGAAGGTTGGTGGAAGTTGGTGGAGGTTGGTGGAGGTTGGTGGAGGTTGGTGAACGTTGGTGGAGGTTGGTGGAGGCTGGAGGTTGGTGGAGGTTGGTGGGGGTTGGTGGAGGCTGGTGGGGGTTGGTGGAGGTTGGTGGAGGTTGGTGGAGGTTGGTCGAGGTTGGTGGAGGTTGGTTGAGGTTGGTGGAGGTTGGCGGAGGTTGGTGGAGGTTGGTGGAGGCTGGTGGGGGTTGGTGGAGGTTGGTGGAGGTTGGTGGAGGTTGGTCGAGGTTGGTGGAGGTTGGTTGAGGTTGGTGGAGGTTGGTGGAGGTTGGTGGAGGCTGGAGGTTGGTGGAGGTTGGTGGGGGTTGGTGGAGGCTGGAGGTTGGTGGGGGTTGGTGGAGGCTGGAGGTTGGTGGAGGTTGGTGGAGGCTGGTGGGGGTTGGTGGAGGCTGGTGGGGGTTGGTGGAGGCTGGTGGAGGCTGGTGGAGTTTGGTGGAGGTTGGCGGAGTTTGGTGGAGGTTGGTGGAGGTTGGTGGAGGTTGGTGGGGGTTGGTGGAGTTTGGTGGAGGCTGGTGGAGGTTGGTGGAGGTTGGTGGAGGTTGGTGGAGGTTGGTGGAGGCTGGTGGAGGTTGGTGGAGGCTGGTGGAGGTTGGTGGAGGCTGGTGGGGGTTGGTGGGGGTTGGTGGAGACTGGTGGAGGCTGGTGGAGGTTGGTGGGGGTTGGTGGAGACTGGTGGAGGTTGGTGGAGGT